TACTACTACTACTACGGCGAATACTGCTGCGACTGCGATTGCGTCGTTTGCTGCGGCTGCTAGCATTACTGCTTCCACCGCTGCTGCGATTACTTCTATTACTACTTCGACCATGCCTACAACTTCAGATTCTACGAGTACGACTACGACTACAAATACGGCGGCGACCAATAGTACTACTACTACTACTACTACTGCCACTACTTTTGCTGCTACCGGTACTAGCTACTACGGCTGCTACTACTAGTAATGCTAGGTTTACTACCACCACTACTACGAGTACTACTACCACTATTACTACAACTACCACTACTACGACTACGCCACCTTTTTCCACTACTACCTACTAGTATTATTACTACATCTACTACTGCCACTACTAGTACTACGACTGCTTCTATCACTATTCGTATTTTTTATGAAAACCACTACCACTGCTGCTAGTATTACTTCTACTACCACGACTACGTCTACTACGATTTCTTCTTCTACTACTACTATCACTACGAGTACTACGACGACTGCTACCAGTACACGCACTACTATTCCTTCTACTTTGAATTATACTGCTGCTATTGTTGTCGCTGCTATAAGTTTCCATTCTTACTATTACCAGTCCCACTTTGACCACGCCTACGACTACAACTACTACGACCACTCCGGCTACGACGATAACTATTACTACTATTGCTTCTACTGTTTCGACTGCTACTATTGCTACGACATCGATTTCTATTGCATTTCCATTACTACTTCTACTACGATTGCGACTTCTAGTAGTAGCTATGTTTGTATTATTGTTCCAACTGCTACTACTACTGCTACTACTACTACTGCTGCTACTACTACTATCACTACTACTACTACTACTACTACTACGACTGCTTCTACTACTACTACTACTACTACTACTACTACTACTACTACGGCTACGGCTACGGCTCCGTCTATTGCTAGTACTACCTTCCTTTTTCTGAAAAAAAACGAGTACTACGACTACGACTACGACTACGACTATGACTACGACTACTACTACTACTACTACTACTACTACTACTACTACTACTACTACTACATCTACTACTACATCTACTACGACTACTTCTACTACGACGACGACGCTTGCGGCGATTGCTACGGCTACTACTATTATTACTACTACGACGACTACTACTACTACTACTACCACTACCACCACTACGACGGCGACTAGTACTACTACTACGACTATTCCTACTACTCCTACGACTATTTGTACTACGACTACTACTACTGCTACTACTACTACTACGACTACTACTACTACTACTACTACTACTACTACTACTACTACTACTACGGCGAATACTACATCGAGTAATTCCACGAATGGTACCACTACATCATTTATCACTACTACGACGATTACTAAAACCATTACAACAGCAACTACTACGTCTACTACTATACCTGCGACTATTAGCCACATGTTCTCCATTGTTACGCCTACTTTTATTGTTACTACTACTACTACCACTACTTCTATTACGTTTACTACTACTACTACTACTGCTGCTGCTGCTGCTTCTACTACTACGACTGCCACGACGACGACTATTCTTACTACGACCACTACGAATAGTACTGCCACTAGTACCACTAGTATTTTTACTACGACCTACTACGACTATGACTATTGCTGCCACTGATATTATTACTGTCGTCACTATTTCTTTTTCTTCTATGGCTATCACGATTATTGAAACGGTTTTGAGAAAAGTATGCTTGTGTGCACGCGTCGGCTGCCCGTGCACGTGACATATTCTTCGCATCGTTTTGCGAAGGTTGGCAGAATGGGATATCCTGCGTGTGGTATCGGGCTACACTTCATTAGACGAGCCAGTATATGCAGTAGAGTGGCCAAGCGTTACAGCCGGCCATGTCAGTCGGAGCAAGCTCGACGTACAATCAGCTTTGTTGTTGTAGGCTCAGGCTTCGGCCCAAGTGTGATAAATCAACCCAGGTGTGACAACACACGACGAGTGTGGTAAGTTCCTGCTTTGTCTTTTTATCACAGTTGCTCTGTCACAGGGTTTATCACGCTTGCCTTCACAGCCTGCCCTTGCCTCAGCTTCTCCGGCTCTTTCTCTTGCAGCCGTCATTCAGGCCCTCGGCCTCTGCCGCCGTCCACCCCCCCCCCTCGGATTGCCCCCGCGTCTCCTGTCGACTGGCTGATTGGTTGGCCGATCGGGTTGTCAGGCAAGCAACTCGGCTAGCTGTCTGGCAGCTGTTATGCTATATGTTGTTTTGCCGGCTTCGAGCAGGGGATCGACTACAGAATTGCTTTGCCCCAAAGTTGATTTCCCCCCTCGGGTCTACGACGAATGCGTAGAAGTCTTGCAAGTCCTACCGAATTTTAAGCGTGTTTCCGTGATTCGACAGGAAATCAATTCTGGGGTGAATCAATTCCGTAGGCGATCGCAAACTCGACGATTGGCGCGGGCTTCTGGCCCCCCCCCTCCCCCCCTCCCTCCACCAGATCTTGGCTGCTTTTGGCGGCCAGTTGCTGGCGGGTGGTCAGGACCCCTACTCCCAGTTTGCTTGCGCGACTGGTAGAAGCAGTGCGACTAAGCTCCGGCCCAGACTCAGACCACCCACCCCTCCCCCAATCTTCGGCGAATTGTCGAGACCTAGAGTACAAACCAAGCTCACCTGGCTGTCTGGATTGACGCTGGCAACTAGTTGGTTGGCGTATGGGCTTGATCGCATGCTTGGTCGCACGCCTGATGGCTGGTTGGAAGGCTGGTCCTGTGAGCTCGCATAGCAGATTCATTACATCTCGCACGGGATCGTGCCCTCGGAGTGAACCATGGTAAATAAAACGGGATCCCGTGTCATCTACCATGGATCGAGGCTTCGGGAGCAGAGGCCCACCGTTTTTGCCGAGGGCTCGCGAGCCCTCGGGAGCGCGAATCCACAGCTTTTGCTAGAAGTCTTGGCTTCAGCAGTGCGGGGCCATAGTTTCTTTTATTACGGACTGGCATCGGAGTTGGAGTCGCGGATCCTCAGTTCTTTGTAGTCTTTGTGAGTGATTTTGGTTTCGGGGCCTCGGATTCACATTTGAGTTAACAAGAGATTGCAGCCTCCAGTTCGCGGACCCAATATTCTTTTACGATGGATCGTGGCCTCGGGAGAGAAGATCCCACGTTCCTACGAGAGACCGGGACCTCGAAGACGTGGATCTCTTTAGATTTTTGCGTGACCAAGGGCATCCATAAAGTGTGAGGAGGTGTTTCTGGTGCGGCCGGATGCTGGCTTCAGGCGTAGGAGGGTAGAGCGCGTTCTCAGAAATTATGAATCAGAACCGTTGCCCATTTGCTGAGCTGCTGAAGCGGTTGCAACATTGCACATTGCCCCACTGCAAGGATGAGAGCTAGGTTGCTCAGTTGTGGAAGCGTGCCCTTCGGAGCTTGATGGCCCCCGCAAGCAGGACGGTTTTGCTCATTGCTCCATGTTGGTCTTCCATGTGATGTTCGCAGAGCTCGGACTTGACCAACAGTGTCGCAGCAGCGCCGACTGCACTGCTGTCCCTCGAAGCCCAAGCCCACATTTTTTGAGATGTGTGTAGAGCAGGTGGGCGCGGTCTGCGCTCGCACAGGGTTTGGCTCGAGCCGCTTCTGCCTACGGCCTGGCGGGTCCCTCGCCGCCCGGCGGGGCTCCGGCTGGGGCCCATGTAGGGGGCCGTCCAGCCTCCCTCGCGCCAGGTGGGCCGTCTGGTCTTGGCGGCGTGAGCGCCAGGAGCGAGAGCGAAGCTGCAGGGGCCAAGAGAGCGTGGGGGAGGGTTCGAGCCGCCCACCAAACCACCCCAACCCAACCCGCCCAATCTGCTCTCCATTTCCAGTTGGAGGGGGGTCGGGGAACCTTGAGAAAACACACATGACGCCCGTACCCCCCCCCCCCCACCCCGAAATTCGGGTCTTCGGGTTGGGTTGGGGTGGTTTGGTAGGTAGTCAGGTTCGGGGGAGGGCCCATCGAGGCACGGCGCCTCCTCGTCCTTCCCTCGCCTCGCCGGCGAGGGCCGCCGCAGCTGGCCCCCGCCCGAGAGGCGAGCGCAGGCGGGAGTGTGGGGGGAGGGGAAGGGGCTCAGAGGAGCTAAGTCTACCGATGCCGCTGCCCTGCCCTCGTCGCCACGGGCTGGGTTCGCCCCGACAGCCCGGTCAGAACGCACTCAGGCGAGGTCCACAGCGCAGCGGTACTGCTATGCTTTCTCTTCCCCCTGCGGCAGAGGGGGGATCGCGTGCGAGGGGTGGAGCTGACGCGCGGGAGCGGAGACACAGACTCGCGGCCCAGAACTTGCTCTCCTCCCCCTCCCCGGTGGGGTCCGCTGCTCCGTCCGCGATCGGGGGGTCGCACCCAACGGTCGGCGGCGTGCCTGGGGGGGGTCGAAGTGAGAAGGGGCGGGCCTTCTCAGAAGGCGGCGGGGCTTCTCAGAAGCCCTCCAGCCGTCTGAGGAGCCGTCTATGTCTTCGGAGAAGGCTAGGATGATTTCGCAGGAGGCGCGCGGGTGTCTGAGAAGTCCCGCCGCCTTCTCGGGAGGCCTGCCCTCGCTCCGTGCTCCCAGCGGGGAAGGGGGGGAGGGGAGCTCCACTGCACGCGGCTGTTGTCCGCCCTCCTTGGGGCGATGCCGCCCTCGGCGCACGGGCGGCCTTGGCGGACTGGGGCGTTCGGAAGGCTCACCGTATGCGGCCGATTTACCAGCCTCGAACGTATCCCTATCCCTAAGATTGACACGCCAAAAGGCGATGACAATCTTAGGGATTCGCCCTCAAAAAAGAAGGGAATCCCTAAGATTGGCATCGTGATGAGGAGGTGCCCAGCATAGGGACAGGGATATGTTCCAGACTGGTAACCGATTCGCTAATTGCCCCTCTTCTTGTCGCCCGTAGATCGACCGAGATCGATGCGATGGACCCCCCCTCGTGGCACAGGATGTCTCCGACGGCCGAGCAGATCGTGCGCAGATGCAACGACCTGATCCAGACTTACGAGGGGCGGGACAAGCTAGCCAGGCTCTCCCTGGAGAGGATGAGGGGTAAGGATGGTCGGCCTTGATTAGTAGGTCGACCCTGCCTGATTGCGGCCTGTGTCTCTTGACCCATGGCTTCTTACACTATTGTGGCGATGTGGCCTTCGCAAGGGTATTGTGTCCTCTCGCGTGTCATGTCCAATCAAGTCCGACTGCAAGTAGGGAGAAGGACGAGGACGGTGGAAGGAAGCGGATGTGAATGAGGGGCACGGGACGGGGGCGCAGGAAGGGAGAGGATAAGGGCGTACGAGGAGGAGAAGGATGAGGATTAGGAGCCGCCAAGATTAGGGAGGCTGATGTGGAGAAGTGGGAAGGGGTGCAGGTGATGCAGGGGGTGGTGCCGCCCCCACCTTCTCCTTTTCCTCCAGCCTCCCTCCTCCTCATCTTTCCTTTCGTTTCCTCCTCGTGGTACATCACCCTCCATCATTGCTCCTGCCTCACACTTCAGACGCTTTCTCCCCCTGCCATGACAGCGAAGGCAGCCTCAACGAAAGCGACCACGGGATGGTTTCGTGGGTATATCTGCCGACCTATCGTTTCGTCGACGTCCAGCCGTTTGTTTCCTGAGGGTTCCGGCCCCCTCGCGCTGTCCTCTTAGGGCCAGTTCGATCGGACCGCCTTGCCTTCGCACACTCGCACTCGCACTCGCATTCCCCTCATCCCTCACCCTCACTCTTCCTTTTCCTCCTCTCCCACCATTCCCTATTTACCTTCCTTACCCTTTCCTCTTCCTCCTCGTCAACCGCGGAAGAGGGAGGAGGAGGAAGAGGGGGCGGGTGCCATGGAGGTGGAGGAGTAGTAGGAGGAACGAGAAGGTTTGTCGAGGAGGAGGAGGAGGAGGAGGAGGAGGAGGGTGAGGGAGGAGGAGGAGGAAGAGGAGGAGGAGGAGGGAGATTGAATACCTCGCGTGGGCTTGGGAGGACTAGGAAGCCAGGAGAAGAGGGCCCCAGCAGGCTTTTCCAGTTCGCTGGCCGAGCCGTCATGGGCCTGACCTCGGGGGCCACCCCCGCGCAGGTGCGGACCCGATGGCTGAACGAGGCGGCCAGACAGCTGATGATCACCCTCGCTGGCTCCAGGCGCCCTCCTCGACCCCCATCCTGAAGAAACAATTGCCCCCCACGCAGCAGAGGGCACCCCAACCGGGTGTTCGCAGTGACACGATGGGGAGCCACGATGTGCCATCGCTTTCGGGGGCCCAGCTCCCTCAGAAGGCGTCTGGAGCATTACATGGAGTCCCTGCTGACAGGTTGCGCAGGGGAAGATTGTGTAAACCTGTACTCGTTAGGGGTCCGTTCCGGTTTCTCGGGTTGGCGCTGGGCCCCCCTTTGCAGCGCGAAGCGTGGCGCGCTTGGCGCTCCGAGGAGGAGGAGCACGGCGCCGATCCAAGAAGTACGCAGCAGCCCGCAGTTGCCGATCCGAGTGATCGGGGGGGGTGGACAGACCTCCTACCCTGACACGTCGATTAGCGAATTGGCCGTTTTCGGTTCGCGAGAGGGCGTCGCGGCCGTCATCTTTGCGGATCCAGGTCCGTCGGTTTCGGTCCCAGGCCGTTTTCCTTAAGGGGAGGTTTACTAAAGGGAGGTTTGTCCACCGCCGAAGTGAGGGGGCGGGCGCGGGGTTGGTCGCGGGTGGGTCACGGGGTGGGTCGCGGGTTGGCTCGCGGAATGAGTCGCTAGGTGAGTCCCTGGGTGGGTCGCGGAATGGGTCGCGGGTCGGTCGCGGGTTGGCCGCGGGGTGGGTCGCGGGTCGCGGGTGGGTGGCGGGTGGTTGGGTCGCGGGTCGCGGGGGGGTCGCGGAATGGGTCACGGGTGGATCGCTGGGCGGGCCGCGGGGTGGGTCGCGGTGTGGGTCGCGGGATGGATCGCGGGTGGGGGCGGGGTGGGGTGGGTCGCGGGGTGGGTCGCGGGGTGGGTCGCGCAATGGGTCACGGGGGGGTCGCGGGGGGTCGCGGGGTGGGTCGCGGGTGGGTCGCGGGGCGGGCCACAGAGCCAGCGCGATCTCAGTGTTCTCGGGCGAAGGGGGCTCTGCACACGCACCGATCTTGGCCAGGACCGCGCTGAGCCCAGGATCGGTGCACGTGCCTCCCTGGCCAAGCCAGGAGGGCGCAGGCACCGAACCGGCCCTGACTACAGGATTGGGTTGGCCAGGATCTGTGTCTGTGCAGTTTGTTCTTTCTTCTCGACTCATCAGCCTGCGGCCCGCTCCACCATCAGCAGCGATCTGACGGGTGGCCTCAGCAGTTTGCGGCACGACCGTCCCTGAACGCTGGGCCTGCCCAGGGAGCGAGGCACGGCAGCGCAGACGCTGTCGTCCGTCGGCGGGGCCGTGCCAAGCGTGTCGTCGTGACAGTCTTTATATCCAGTCCTTGGCAAGTCCCTCCTCCGTGCCCGCACAACATTGTAGGTGGCGACTGTTCGAGGGGACACGGGGAGCCGTCACATGTGACACCCCGTGTCCCCAAGCTTGGGAGAGCAGCGATGATCACGATGAGGAGGAGGATGCTGTTGCTGATGACGATGATGCTGCTGATGCTGATGCTGATGTCGCTGCTGATGATGGCGACGACGAGGGCGATGGCGATGATGGTGATGCTGATAATGATGGTGAGGAGGAGGAGGATGATGATGCAGATGATAATGATGACGATGATGAGAATGATGATGCTTATGATGATGGTGCTGAAAAGATGATGATGATGATGATGATGATGATGATGATGATGAGGAGGATGAGGATGAGGATGAGGATGAGGATGAGGATGAGGATGAGGATGAGGATGAGGATGATGAGGATGAGGATGAGGATGAGGATGATGATGATGATGATGATGCTGATGATGATGATGCTGATGATGCTGATGATGCTGATGATGCTGATGATGCTGATGATGCTGATGATGCTGATGCTGATGCTGATGCTGATGCTGATGCTGATGCTGATGATGACGACGACGAGGACGACGAAGAGGGGGAGCAGGAGGAGGACGAAGAGGGATGCCATCCCATGCGGCACCTTACTGCTTCACTTCTTTCTTGGGGCGGTCCTGGGCTCCTGTAGGGCAGTCTTCGGAGTCCCTCGGGGCTGTCGTGTAGCCACTTGGGGCTCTCTCTTGGGCCATCTTGTGGCACTCTTGGCCGTACGGGGTGTGGCTGAGGGCCGTCGTGGTGCCATCGTCGACGGGCTTTCGGAGACCGTCTTGGGTCTCTCTGTCTAGGCCTCCTAGAGGGGGTACGAGTAGATGGGGTCGGAGGATCGCGGCGCGTTTTCTCCACGCAGACGGCGCCGATGCATCGCCGACGTCGCCAGTGCGTCGCCGATGCATCGCCGATACATCGGCGATGCATCGGCGATGCCGCGCGATCCTTCGACCGCGTCTACTCGGACCCCATCTGAAAATCCTTTACTCTGGCAGGCCGTTTTGTGGCCGTCTTGCTGGCTTATTGGGCCATCATGGGGTCCTTTTTGGGCCGTCTTGGGGACATCGTGGAGGTTTCTTGGGCCGTCTTTGGCTGACGGGCGTCCGAAGAGGCGGGGATGCGAAACTCAGTCGAAAGCCTTGGGGGCATGGATGATGTCGGCCTCTTGTGGCCCTACTGGAGGTCCTCCTGTGTTTCTCTTGGGCCCTCTGGGAGGCATCTTGGGAATTCCTGGAGGCATCTTGGGCTGTCTTAGCTGCCTCGGTTGCCTTCCCCGCCTATCTTGAAAGCTCCGGAGCGCTGTGTTGTACGCGTTTGTTTTGTGATTTCGATAACTATTGGCGGACATCTCTTCTTCCTTTTGGCTGTAAGATTTGAGCATGGGTGTTGCAACGAGGGCTTCAACGAGGCGGCGTAGAAGGCATACTGAGACAGACCCAATTCGGCGTCAGGCGAACAAGGGGGACGGTGCAGTCGATATCGATTGCCAGGCGGATGTTCGAGAGCAGGAAGAGGAGAAGGAGTTGGCGGGTGAGCAGGAGGACGCGCGGGAGTGAAAGAATGGGGACGAATAGAAGCAGCAGGAGCTAAAGCGGAAGGATAGGGAGGAAAAGGAGGTCCAGGGGAATGGCGAATGACGAGGAACTGAGGGCGCGACAACGACGAAGAAGTATTCGGATCCAGGAAAGTGGCCCACGCTGGGGCGAGACGAACAGCAGCAACAGGATCTGGAGTGGAAGGAGCGGGAGGAAGAGGAGGACAAGAGGAAGGCGGAGGAGGGGGAATGAGGGGGCGATCACAGTGAAGCAAGACTCGGATCCAGAACATCATAGTATCCATATTGTTCAAGTGTTGGGGAAGAGAAGGAGGAGGAGGAGGAGGAGGAGGAGGAGGAGTAGGAGGAGGGGGAGGAGGAAGAGGAGGACCAGGAGGAGGAGGAGGCCGAGGGAGGAAGAGGCCGAGGAGGAGGCCGAGGGAGGAGGAGCAGGAGGGGGGTGGATCATGGAGGGGAGTGTCGGGGATGGGAGGCCGAGTGGCAACAGCTCCAGGCGCTCCTTCCGGATCGGCCGGGAGCTGCCCGTGGTGCTGGGCCTGCCTGGGGACCTGGAGCTGCCGCGGCGGTCGGACAGGGCTCTGCGCCTCGCCGAGAGGGCGTCCCTGCTGGCGTTCCTGGCGATCGACCACCTCGGCTGGTGGAAGCAGGTCCCCGATCGAAGCACCGTTCGGGATCGAAGGAGTTGTCATCTCTTCCACGGCGGGAGGGCGGCGGAAGTAAAACGAGGCCGCCTCCGCCGGCGGAAGCCTGCGGAAGCCCGGCGGAGTGTGGCGGAAGTGCAAGATGCGCCCCCAACAGATGAAAACGTTTTTGGGTTCAGGGTTTTTCGGGGGTGGACAGAACCCCCAACAGTCACACGTCGATTAGTGAATTGTCCTTTTTCGGTTCTCGAGAGGGCGCCGCGGCCGTCATTTTCCAGGCTTGCGCCCGCCAGGCTTGGGCCCGAAGTCGTTTTCACTAAACCATGTTTTACTAAAGAGGGGTCTGTCCATCCCCGAACCGTGGTTGTGACAACTTCGGAACGGTTTTGATTCGCAGGGGGCTCTGTGTGCCTGAAGTATCTTGGTGTCTCTCCACAGGGCCCCAGCAGACAGTCTCAACCGCTTTCGGGGGAGTAGCAGGAGCCGTGTTCCTGATTGGAGGCTTCTTCTAGCATTGATTGAGTCTTGACCCAGCAGTTCCATGATTCGGCGTCCAGAGTGTCGCGGATAGCACCACTTGTCGACGCAAAAAAAGGGTCGTTTGCGCCGACATTGGCGCGTGAGTTGCCCGCGTACGATCGTGTAAGCGCCCTCGTCTCCACTGCAGAGTGCCGCGCTGGCGGCCCGCGTGTGCCGCTGCGCAGGGTCGCTGTGCCATCTCGCTCCTGTGGTTTCGGCTATTTAGTCAAGCCGCATAATAAGGACGTGCATCCTTCCCAAGGGTACCCTTGCATCCTTGCCTCCTCGGCCCATCCTTGGCCACTTTCGCTGGCCGCGCCCCGCCTGAAGAGCCTCGAGATGGGCTTCCAAAACCCTTGCATCCTCATCGCGCATCCTTCCGATACGGGTTGGCTGCATGTGGAAACAAATGCCAAGAAACATCCTGCTTGCCTCTAGGGTGCCCGGGGTTTCTTGGGCTTCGATGGCTTTCCTATGGAATGCGTGATATACCCACACCAAAATAAATGGACATCCTGGGGTCTCCAGAATGGGTTTCTGGTGGAGGGTTTCTTGTGGTCGAGCTCCTGCTGCATAGTTTCCGAGGAGAACAAAGTACCCATGCCGCTACCTTTCGCCCGATGACCTTTCTGGTGTGGGCTCATCGGGGTCCCCCCGATCGCTGAGTGCGATGCGATAGCGGCGGATTGCGCGCTTGCAGTCGGCCGCCTTGCGTTCCCTTGGTCCGCGCACCAAGCTCAATCTTGCGTGTAGCCGAAGGAACAGGTACCGCTGCCGCTGCCCTCGCATTGTGTTCGCCTTTTTCGGCCTCTTGGGAAGGTTCTCGTCGTCACAGCTGGATTCGCAACGAAATCTTCGCCAGACCGCACCACGGGCGAGATGCGGGGAGTATTCCCCAGGAGGAACACGCTGACAGGCTACCTCTGGCAGCGCGTTACTGATCAGAGGAAGGGGGCCGAGCGGTCATTCATTTTCCCCGGGCTCGTGGCTGAAGCGGGGCTCCGTGGTGCGGACTGCAATTGCGTTGTTGCGTTGTGGCGCTGTTGTTGATGATGAAGGCTGGGCTAAGGCCCCCGTGGGGGAAGGGGGGGGGACAACGCACCAACACTACGCAGCCTTCTCAGGTCCCATTCCGTTTCCATGCCGTTATTTGTAGGCCCTTCACCATTCCGATGGAGTCCCTCACCATTCCGATACAGTTCCCAGTAGAGTCGTTATTGGTTGCCATACTATTCCGTGCAATTCTTGTACCATTCGTCCTCCGTCCCATTCAGTTCCCATACCGTCTTCTCGAGGTCTCAAATCATTCGTATACCTCTGTCGAGCCCCATACAACCCTCCCTATTGTGTCCCATACCGTGTATATACCAGCCATATTAGGTCCCACAGCAATCCTATCCCATCCCTGCTAGGTCTCATACCACGTCCGCACCATCACTAGTGGGTCGTATATCGTTACCATACCAGCACTACTCGGTTGCATATAGTTTCTGTGCCATGTCTGCTCGGTTCTACAACTGCCAGGCCTGCCCGGGTAGAAAGTGTATACCGGTCATCGAGTTCCCATGCATTTGAAAGACGACCTTGTCGGGTCCCGTATCGTTTCTTTGCCACGGCCAATCGGTGCCAGAACATTCCCATACCATCCCTATCAAATCCCATACCACATCCACAGCACCCGTACTAGGCCCCATACCATTCCCCATACCACCCCGAACATGTTCCAGTCCATGTTTGTACCATCCCTACTATGCCTCATGCTGTGCTCATACCATCCCTGCTAGGTCCTGTAACATGTATTTTCCTTTCCTGTCAGTTCCCGTTTAAGCTCCGATACGGTTTCTACACCCATCTTGTTATGCCACAGTTCATGCCCATACCATCCCTCTGTTACCGTGCCCCATTGTATACCATTTGCAGTCGGTACTGTAGCATATGCGCACCACCCCGACCACGTCGAATGTCAATTCTGTGCCTTCCGGAGCAGGGCCCATTCCGTTGGCCAACCATCTTTATTCGACCCCATGCCGGGAGTGTATAGGATCCGATACAATCCGTGTTGGGGGTGACTAGGGTGGGATACCGTCCGAGTCGCGATCGACTTCAATGCAAAGATTCCGTGTTGGCCGTGGCGGGAGTGCATAGGATTCTACACAGTGTGGCCGGACTGTACAGGATCTTGTACAGTCTGTGGCTTTGCTGTTCGGTTTCTTATGCATTCTGCGACGGGAGTGTATAGGATCCTATAAAGTCTGTGGCGGAACTGTACAGGATCCTATACAGTTTGTCGCGTGAGTGTATAGGATCCTGTACAGTTTGTGCCCGGACCGCATAGGATGCTATACAATTGGTGGTGGGGCTGTATAGGATCCTGTGCAGGTTGTTTCTGGAGGGCATCGGATCCTACACAGTTTGTGGCGGGAGTGTATAGGATCCTATACAGTCTGTCGCGCGACTGTATGGGATCCTATTCAATCAGTATCGTGACTGTATAGGTTCTTATTCAGTCCATGACAGGGACCTTGGGATCCTGCACGGTTTGTTGGTGGATTGTACAGGACCCTATACATTTTGTGCCAGGACCTTAGTGAATCATATACAGTTTTTGGCGGCATGGAATGGGGTCTTACACAGTCTGAGCGGGGATTGTACGGGATGCTATATAATCGAATCGATTGCGGGATTGTACAGGATCCCCCCCAGTCTGTGGCGGGACTGTACAGGATCCTACGCAGTCTGTGGCGGGACTGTATAAGATCCTGTACAGTCTGTGGTGGGAGTGTATAGGATCATGTGCAGTCTGTGGCGGGATTATAATCATTATACGCAGTCTTGTGGCGGGGGTACATGGGATCCTATACAGCCTCTGGCGTGACTGTATCGGATTCCGTACAGCTCATAGCAGAAATTTTCTTCGCTTTTGCCGACGTGCACCAACGCCGGCAGGCTCATGGATACCCCTTTGGCTCTTACATGGGAATCGGCGTGGACCGGGGCCGCGACGCCAGCCTTCACCACCAGGGGAGAATGCGTGGAAGGTGTCCCCAGCACGGGGGGGCGCCAAGCTGGCCAATACCTTCTTGAACTACCATTTTAGAAGGCTGCTATGGCTGATCACCAAATTTCTGTGATTTTTTCAATTCGAGTGCTCCTCCTGGGGCTCGCACCTCCCTGTTTCGCGGGGCAGTCTTTTGGCCTCAGACTGCGCCCCCGGCCCCCGGCCGAGCTACAACAGCGGCTCCCGCAAGAGACGTCCTCACGGTTTACTCAAATTGTGGTCGTTCGCGGGACACTTCACACTTGATCCAGGGATCGAGCCTCCGCAATGTATTCCGGCGCCGCGCCCCCCATGAAGCACGTTCGCGCTCTGGATGTCCTCACTATTTTCTTTGTCAATCGCGCTGTCGGTCGAAACTTTCTCGCGACTCATGTCGGCTGGACGCTTCGGCGACCCGCCCGCTCGACCCAACCGTCTGGGCCCGCCCGCCCAACCTGCCCGCTAGGATTCGCCCGCCCGATCCGCCCGTGTGGTTGTGACGCTTGAAATTACTCCTGCTCCGAGCCTCCTCCTGCAAATCTCTCTCGTGCTCCATCCTTCTCCGTTCCCTTTTGTCCCTTCCCTTCCTCCTTCCCTCCCTTCCCTTCCTGTAATTAGGGGCAGCGCCAACTACACGTGGCAAGTAAGGAAGACCTGCTCTCAAGGGGGTACGATCGAAGAAGAATTGGGCGGTTATTGAGGGTTCGGAATAATGATACGTGTTGAATGGCACGCGAGCAGATACGAGCAGAGAGTCTTAATATTATTGTTGTTGTCGTCGTTATCGTTATCGTCGACGTCGTCGTCGTCGTCGTCGTCGCCCGCGGCCCACCCGCGACCCACCCGGGACCCGTCCCGCGACCCACACCGTGATCCACGGGGGATACGTCCGCGACCCACCCGCGACCCAACCCAATGCCCAGCCCCCTTAAGCAGTCTCATCCGCATCTGCGAGGTGCTACGTTATCATTCGCCCTCTCGACCAAAGAGCCCTCCCACCCCCCGTCACCAGACGCCTCACGCGCCTGGCCGTGGGCGGCCGCGGCGGACCCGGCGCCCGGCCCGCAGAAGGTGCTCGGGGGCATGCGCAGCGGCGCGAGGATTTGCGGGCCCCAAGAATGCACCGCCACCACCACGATGATTCCTCCTCCCTGCTCAAAACCCTCCTCTTCCTCTCCTCCTCCCTGGGAGAGAGAGGAGGCGAGGGAGGTGGTTGCGGGCAATAGTTATATCCACTACAGTCTTGGGCCATCTTCCCCAGAAACCGTAGACGCACTGGATATGGATAAAAATATGGCCCCGAGAGGCTTGATTTTATCCATATCCAGTGCGCCTCGGCGTTGCGCCTCCTCTTCCCAAAAATTCCAAGACGCTCTGGATATGGATATAAGTACTGCCCGCAGTGGTGGTCGTGGTGGTGTAGGTTTTTGGGCCCCGTAAGGACCATCCAGCTGGGCCTGAAGTTCCTCGCCGTGTCGACGGCGCTGGCCGCCCTGGCCCGCGCGAGGGCGCTCCTCGAGCTGCAGCGGGAGGATACCGAGGCGGGGATGGAGACATGACCACCGCTTGGAGGATCAATGTTCGGGGATTTCGGCAGGCGGTGGACATGGACAGATTCGGGCCCCCCGGGGGGGCAATACATCTATACACATACATACACTCATACATGTATACAGGTTTATATATATACACATAGATGCACATGCACATATATATTTGTATGCAAACATCATACATGTACACATGCATATGCATACATAAATACATATGTCTATATATATATGTCTATACATACATGCATACACATATACACATACCTACACACATACATACATGCATACATACAAGCATTAATGCATTCATTCATTCCTACATGTGTACATACATACATACATACATACAGACAGACAGACAGACAGACAGACAGGCATACATGCATACATACATACATACAGTCGTGTATACAAACATTCATACATGCATACATACACACGTACACACATACATGCATACGTACACACATATGCATGCATACATACATACATACATACATGCATGCATGCATGCATACATACATACATACATACATACATACATCCATCCATGCATGCATGCATGCATGCATGCATGCATGCATGCATACATACATACATACATGCATGTATGCATGCATGCATGTATGCATACATACATACATACTTCAATATGTGCCTACATACATACATACATACATACATGCACCAATGCATACACATATACATATAAACCTACATGCATGCATGCATGCATGCATACATACATACATGCATACGTACGTACATACATACATACATACATGTGCATATACATGCATACATGTATGCATGTACATCTCTTTTATATAAATACACCTTTCCACCGCCCGATGCACAAGTCCCCACCTCGCAAGGGTGGCGCCGCGGGGTCGCCGCAGGAGCGCGCCGCGCAGCGCCGGAGGCACGCCGTCGGCCTCTGCAGGAACGGCATGATGGCGGTGCAGGCCGCGCGCGCCGCGCGTGCCCGGGCGAGGGGGGCCTCCTCCTCCTCCTCCTCCTCCTCCTCCTCCTCCTCCCCCTCCTCTCCTCCCTCCTCCTCCTCCTCCTCCTCTCCTCCTCCCTCCCCCTCCTCCCCCTCCTCCCTCCTCCTCCTCCTCCTCCTCCTCCTCCTCCTCCTCCTCCCCCCCTCCTCCTCTCCCCCTCTCCTCCTCCTCCTCCTCCTCCTCCTCCTCCTCCTCCTCCTCCTCCCGTTCATCCGCCTCGTCCGAGACCCCCTCCTCCACCCGCTGGGGCGCGGGGGAGGGGCGCGCCCCGTCGGCCGGACGCAAGACTTTTGGCACCGCCTCGGCGTGCGCAGGTTTCTTCTCTGCGAGGAGCATCGAGGCGCATCCTGGGAATCCCAGGATGCGCATCGATGTATCCAGGCTGGGATCATCTTGCGAAAAAAGATGACCCCAGGCTGGGAACATCTTGCGACAAAAAGATGATCCCAGATGCGCCTCGATTATCCCAGGTTGGGATCATGCCCTTTGTTTGTCCGCTAGATGATCCCATTCTGGGATCATCTTGCGAAAAGAAAACAAGGGAGGAATCAACACACGGCGCTGGGCGTTGACTGAACAGCCCTGCCCCCTTCGATTGCTTCTTTGGGTGCGTTTGCCAAAACGGCTTCGCGTGTCGGGGTGCCTTTGTTCTCGGGGTGGATTTCCGGCCCTCCAAGAAGACGCGCGCGAAGCCGAAACAGACTGCGCACGGGGCAGGGACGTCCGAGCGATGGCGCGAAGGGTGACCCCTCGCTGGAGTGACCCCTCGCTGGTGCGGGCTTCGATGGGTTTCCTCTGTAATGCGTGATACACCCACACCAAAAGTACATGGACGTCCTGGGGTCTCCAGAGAAGGTTTCTGGTGGAGGGTTTCTTGTGGTCGAGCTCCTGCTGCATAGCTTCCGAGGGGAACAGGGCACCCATGCCGCTACCTTTCGCCCGATTACCTTTCTGGTGCGGGCTCCTCGGGGTCCCCCCGATCGCTGCGCGCGGATTGCGACAGCAGCGGATTGCGCGCCTGCAGTCGGCCACCTTGCGCCCCCGACTAGTTCGCGCACCAGAGGTCACTCTCGCCCAGGGTTGCTCGCTGCGTCCAAGCGTTGCCTCCCGTCCTCTCCCTCATCATCATCCCACCGTCGTCCTCATCTTGCTGCTTCGCCTTCTCCGCAGCTTCCCCGCTTCGTCCTCCTTCTCCTCCATCCCCTCATCCTCCCTACCGGAGGAGGAGGAGGAGGAGGAGGAGGAGGAGGAGGAGGAGACATGCTTGTTCGGGCATGCTGCTGGGACCCCGGCCCTCGGGCCCCGAGGAGGACTACTAGGAGCAGCGGCAGCTGCAGGCGAGGAGGGAGGAGAGGGAGGAGGGAGGGAGGGCAGGGAGGGAGGAGAGGGAGGGAGGGAGGGAGGGCTAGGAGAGGGAGGAGAGGGAGGAGAGGGAGAGTGGGAGGGAGAGCAGGGCGAGGAGGGCGAGGAGGACGAGGACGAGGAGGGTGAAGAGAAGGGCGGCCCAGGCCGCGCACCTGTCGCGGTGGTGGCTGACGGGCGATTCTGTCTGCGGCCTTCTGGGCGTGACCACGAGCGCGATCGGTGGGGGCCCGTGGGGGCGGCTGTGCTGGCGAAGGCCAGCGGGGGGGGTGACGGCCTCGCAGGCTCGAGGAGGTCTGGCACCCCCAGGGGTCTTGGAGTCCTCCTTCTTCCTCCTCCTCCTCCTCCGTCCCTTCCTCCTCCTCCTCCTCCTCCTCCTCCTGCTCCTCCTCCTCCTCCTCCTCCTCCTCCTCCTCCTCCTCCTCCTCCTCCCCCTCTTCCTTCTCGACGTGGTTATCCTCCTCCTCCTTCTCCTCCTTCTCCTCCCCCTCCTCCGCAAACCGGGTCCCGAGGGAAACGGGTCTTGAGATGTTGTCCCATTTTGGGCACCCGAGGTCTTCGCCGGGCCCCAGAACCGTCTACAAAACTACTCGGGATGAGACGCTGGTCTTGGGGAGGGCTCCAGGGGTTCCCGCCATGCCGACAGGAGAGCGGCTCGATGATTCGTTATATATATATATATATACATATCTACACATTTCTGGCGGCTGGGAAAATCGCACCGCACATGTTCGCAATTTGCAGCATCCACCCCAAAGGTGCACCTCTGAAGAAGCCATTGCAACCGTGTGAATATACATAGTTATATTTAGGTCCCGCATCTACACATGTATACAAGTACGTATTTATGATTCATATACATACACACGTATACACAATGTATACGCACATGCTTATCTCAGCCAGCGCGGATCCCAAACAGTGTGCGTCTAGCAACATCGGTGGTGCAACTACTTGGTGAAATATATGTGAAGCAGATTTTGCGAGGCAATATACGTCGTGCAATTCCTGTTGTGCAGCAGAAGTGGTGCGTCGCATGATGTACCATGTATGTTGTGTAACATGTGTAGACAATGCTATGTCCCTAATTATGCATTGTCATATATGTGGTGCAGTTCGAGTTGCGTATTAGATGGTGGGCAATATCTCAATCTGTGTGTTGCAATATCTGTTGTGCGATCTATGTGGTACGATCTATGTGGTGTAAACTCTGTTCTGCGATCTATGTGGTGCACAATCTATGTGGTGCAATGTATGGGGTGAAATCTATGGTGTGCAAATGATTTTTACTTATGATTTGACACGTCCCACCCTCTTGCAAACATCCCACCCACCCACCCGCAACTTGGTTTGCAAAACCTCCTGAGACCGACTACGACGACACCGACGATAACGACTACGACGACACCGACGACGTCTCCGACGACTTCGACGACGACAACGACGCCGACGACGACGACGACGACGACGCCAACGAAGACGACGACGAGGGAGGAGGAAGGACGACGACGGCGACAACGACGACAACGACCACAACGACGAGGGAGGAGGGAGGACGGCGACGACGCGAACGACGAAGAAGGAGGAAGGACGGCGACGCCGACGACGACAACGACGAGGGAGGAGGGAAGACGACGACGACAACGACGACGACGACGGCGACGAAGTAGGAGGGACGACGACGAGACGCCGACAACGGACGACGACGACGACGAGGGAGGAGGAGGAAGGACGACCACGGCGACAACGACGACGGAAACGACCACGACGCCAAAGAGGACGACGACGACGAACACGAGGAAAGACAGAGGACGAAGTAGGCGACGACGACAACGACGACGCGGGAGGAGGGACGACGACGACGACGACGACGACGACGCAAGAGCGAGCGCGCGCACGCTTTTGTTGAACATCCGTGTTGCGAAATCTTGTGTTTTTATATGTTTTTTGGACACACAATTTTGACATCCTTCCGAAACCGATTGGTTTTGAAGGATTTCGGCATACGCGCGCGACGACGCGCGCGTCTGCATTTCGTATCGTTTTTTGCAGAGAATTCTCGCGACGGCACACGCGCAAGGGCGTTCGAAAGATTTCGACATGCGCGCGCGAAGCCCGTTTAATAGCATTTCGTGAACAGCTTGAAAAACCTATGGTTTCCTTAAGATTTCGCAAGAGCTCGCGCGGAAGCTTGTTTAGCAAATCAGTGTTGCGAAACCATATGTTTTCATACGTTGTTTTGGAAATTCGATTGCGAAATCCTTCCGGCACCGAAGATTTTTGAAGTATTTCGTCATGCGCGCGCGACGACGCGCGCGTGTGCACTTCGCCCCATTTTCTGCAAGGGATTCGTGAACAAGTGCTATGTTAGAACAAAAGATGTCCCCTCGTGTCGTTTATTTTCTTTGTCTACGAGGGAACCTCAGGGGGGCCGATCCCGGCCCCTCTGGGATAGTTTAAACTCATATATAGGATGGACATGTGGTCAGGATCATATATGATTTACATACCCGAGAGGGGGGTGGATAACGCCGGGGGGGGGTAGAGTCTACTTTCTTTTTAGAAAGGAGACTCAATGTTGCGCATTGCATGTGAGGCGGCGACAGGTCTGCGACGGCGGCAATATGCGCGGCGACCGACAGAAAAAGGCTCAAACTACGGGCGGCGACGGGGTGGCGACGGCGGCAAGCGCGGCGACCGACAGACAGGTCCAGTTCCTTAGGGACAAGTAAGAACCCCTAAGTGCAAGCACTTTGGAAACTCTATGTATACATCAGGATGTGAATTGAATGTATATGGATTGTCCTACGCACTGCCCCGAGGGTGTCGAGCTCCTTGGCGATTAGTTGAAGCGGTCGCGTCCGCGATGTGCTTGGCAGTTTCGCTCGGGACATCCTCGATATTCTGAAAGCTGGGCGCACCCCTCAGGCAGATCGCGACGGCATTGTCCAAAAACATGTTTGCAACAAGTTTAATCGAAAACCTTCAAAACACAATGGTGGTCAATGAGTTTGGGCGTCGCTCTCAGAGAAATAGTCATTTCGCCTGAGACACCCCTACATCAGTGACAGCCGAGAAATTCCAAGCTGTCTTCGTACTAATCATTAGGGAAGTTTTCACTCGACACATCCTCCAAACATTAGCTTCGGCGCTTCCTTTTCGACTGCACTCGCACGGTGTGGACTGCCCTTCCACGCCACACACATCGCAAGGTGTGGCAATCCCACCTGCGTTCGACTGCGATCCCGCTGTTGCACCTCCTTCCCAACAGCCCCTCTGATGATCCTCATTATCCTCCTCTCCGTTATCCTCTGCTTCTCTATCTCTTTCCTCCTCTTCCTCTTCGGATCCGATGTCATTGTCATCTTCTTGTCAATTTCCTGCGATGCTCACGTGCTGCAGTTCTGCAGCCTCGGCACGCACGTGCCACTTGAAAATGCATCTCATCCAGGGGCCCTCTTGTGACGTCTTGGGGCCCTCTTGGTATAGTTATGTTGGGGTCGTGGGCCACTAGAGCCGTCTTGGGCCCCTCTCGGGGCTTCTGGGGCGACTGCTGGGCCATAATGGGGAGAGGGTGGGGCCGTCTCTTTTGCAGGCTCTGAACACCGAGAAGGCGAGTACCCATCGGTCGTTGAAAGTAAGTACTTTAGGCTGCCCAGATCCCAATCTACGTTAGGCGCCTTCCTTCTTCAAGAGTGGAGTCGTCGTCCCTCTCCCCTCGTCCTCAGGGGGTGGGCCGGAGCCCAGTCTACTTCCAACGCCTTCCTACTCCGTGTCCACCAGCCCTGTCGGAGGCCATTTGAGGGCTTCGGGAAGCTTCTTCGAAACCTTCTTCGCGTCTTCGGGCCGTCTTCGGGGGCAACTAGCAGCAGCAATCAACGCCTCACAGCATCGAGCAGCCGCGCCCGACAGCAATCATCAGCATCAGCTGCAAGCGGCTCATGCAGCTGCGTTCCCCGTTGTGCTCAAAACGGCAGTTTCGTGAGACACACCCAAACGGCCAAAACAGATACCCGCCGTGTTACAGTTTGTCTTCGGAGGGTGTCGCGGGGCCGTCGCAGTAAACGATGTAACGGAGAATTTGGTAATGCGGCCTTGTCGTGTCGAATGCTGCTTTTGGGCAATAGTTGACGTGGCATGTCGTGCTCGATGTTGTTCTCGGTTCCAAAGTAGCCGAGCCATGGCATCAATGTGGTTCTAGCGGACATCCAAGCTGGCGCTGGAACACTCGACTGGATTTCAACAGACCCCAGGAGAAGAAGGGAATTGAGCACAAGGATGAGCGAGGATGAAGTGGATGAGGAGGAGGAAAAGGAGGAGGGGGAGGAGTAAGAGGAGGAGTGGCAAGGACCGAGGGGAAAGTGGCAGTAGGAGTGGGGAGGAGCGCGACGAGCGGTGCGAGGATGAGCGAGGTGGAGGGTGAGAAGGAGGCCGAGCACGAGGAGGAGGAGGATTGAGGAGCCCCGTGATGCTATTTCTGTTTGCGTCCTCTTGGGGCGTCTTGGGGGACCCTCGTGCCCGCTTGGGGCCCTCTTTGGGGACTCCTGCGGCGGGACCGTATCGAGAGCTTCTCAGAGACTTCTGGGCCTGTCCGTGTCCTCTTGGGGCCCTCTCGGGGGCGCTCGTGCATCCCATCCCACACCCCTCGCTGCGCTCCTCACCCCTCAGACATCCTCCCTGCTCCTCCTCGCGGCTGGCGCTCGTGCATCCCATCCCTCGCCCCTCGGTGCGCTCCTCGACCCTCAGACATCCTCCCTGCTCCTCCTCGCGGGGGCGCTCGTGCATCCCGTCCCGCACCCCTTATTGCGCTCCTCAACCCTCAGACGTCCTCCCTGCTCCTCCCCCTCCCCCTCCCCCCTCCCGTGTTGGCTCCGCGGGGTGCGCCGCAGGCGTTGGCCGTCGATCCAAGCGAGGGAAGCAGAGGGAGGAAGGCCCCTCGTCTCCCCCTCTCCCCCCTCCCCGCTGTCAAGGGAAGAGCAAACAACACCCGGACCCGAGAAGTGGCGTTTACCAAAGAGCCTCGGGCGTCTACTGCGCAGGCCTGCCCTGTTCGATCCCCTCTCGGGGCCTCGCTTGTCGGGGTGGTTCTTATGCTTGGCATCGCTCGGACGTGTGCATTTTTTCTTCGGTGGGGACCATCGAGGAGCATCCTTGATCACTTGGCGAAAGAACCACGCACGAAGCCGAAAAAAGCACAGGGAATGGACGTCCGAGCGATGGCGAGTATGGGGGGGGGGATGTTTTGCCCTCCCCGTTGGCCCTCGCTGCCCCCGCCCCCCCGCGGGCGCCCGACGTCGACCTCTGCCAGGCCTGGCCCGGGTGAGGCGCGCCCGCGGCGCCCGCGCGGCGCCCGCGCTGCCGGCCGAGCTGCCTGCCGAGCTGCCGACGCCGGAGGCTCCAGGCCGCTCACACGGCGTCGGAGCAGTCGGTTCCGCAGGGGCGAAGCGTCCTGGCGGGCCTGGGGGCCCGGCAAAGGAAGTTCTGAGGACCTGCTGCGGCTTGCACGATACATCTCTCAGAACATGGGTTGGGGCAGTCTCGGAAACTGGAACATATGCTTTACCAGTGGCGGGCTGTTTTTCAATCCACGGATTTTGTTGTGGGTCGGGTTGGTGTGGTGTATGCGTTTTTGAATCCGTAGCCCAGGGAAGCAGCGAAACATGTGTACACGAGGATCCCGTATACACCAGGAGCTGCTTTTTTGTTTGCAGATTTCAGTGCAGGGCCGGAAGAAGCGTCGGTATGTGTGTATACATATATATATATATATATATATATATACATCGAGAGAGAGAGAGAGAGAGAGAGTTCGGTTCCCTACAGGCGGTCAAGCAGTGGCGAAGCGTCCTGACGGCCTATCGGCCCAGCAAAGCATGTTCGAAGAACCTCCCAGGGCTTACACGAGACATGCTCTCGGAACGTGTCTGGCCGAGACAGCCTTGTCTCAACACGTCGGCCTTGTTTTGTTCTACGAGTTTCTGCTCTCGGGACGTCCCTTCGTTCTCCAGGACACGTCCTGGCAGGCCTACATTACCAGCCTGGAACATATCCGTATCCCTATGCTGGGCACCTCCTCATCACGATGCCAAGCTTAGGGATTCCCTTATTTTTTGAGGGCGAATCCCTAAGATTGTCCTCGCTTTTTGCTCGCCCATCAAAGGGATAGGGATATGTTCGAGGCTGGTAACTACAGGGATGCCGGGGACGGACGGTCTCTGCTCCAGGCGGGGCCCGGAGGGCCGCGCCGACGTCGCCGCTGTGCCCGCCGGGGCGGCGCGGCCCCACGCCGAGGCACCGCCGAGGCATCGCCGCAGTCGCGGATGCCTCGGCGGTGCCTCGGCGACCTTCGGCGCGGGCCCCCCCAAGAGGCCTCTAAGAGGCCCCCACGAGAGCCCCCAAGAGGCGAAAAGCATTGAGTTTCTGTAGGTGTTTGAAGAATTTGGGCGTTCTCGCCTTTCGGCTCTCCGACGCTCCAAGCCCGCCGAAGAGGCCCCCAATACCACCCCAAAACGACCCAAACGGCCTCAAAGAGGGCCCTTGGCCTCAGAGCGCCTCAAAACGGCCCAAGGGGCCCCGGGGGCGGGGAGCTCCGGGCGACGTCGTCGGACCCCAGGCGACGATCGCAAACATGGATCAAGGGGGCGTGGCCTCGCTCGGCGGCGAGCGGGGAGGGGAAGTGAGGGGGAGAAGGCCTTCTCAGACGGCCGCGGGGCTTCTCAGGAGCACTCGCGCCTTCTGAGAGGTTTTCTTTGTCTTCGGGGAAGGCGTAGACAACGTCTCAGAAGGCAGGGGGACTTCCGATCCGTCCGACAAGGCCTAATCCTTCTCACTTCCCCCTCTTGCTCGCCGCCGATTCTCGGGATCCTGCAAAGGGGGGGTTGTGCCCCAGGGTGTGAGTGAGTTCGATCGGCTATTGCATGGAATTCCGCCCGAAACGGATCCCCCCCCGGCCGCCGGCAGCTCCGGATAGCTGCCGATGGTTGGGGCAGGCGGGGGGCATCTGTTTGCGGCAGTTCGGTGCACCAACGGATCGAGCTCATGTCCCCCCTCAGGGTCACCCCCCCTTGAGTAGATCCCGAGATTAGTCTCCATGGGAAATCGCGGATTTCCGCCGCCGAGCGAGGGGGCGCCGGCCGCATTTTGGGGAGGGCGCCTCCCCCGATACATGGATTTGGCGACCGCGCGCCAAATCCATGGATAGGGGAACAAGACGTGGCATAAACATATAAAGATTCGGAGGTCCGCGCGGATTTCTCGGATCGGCGCTGGACCCACCTCCCTGGCGCGCAGAGCGCGCCAGGGGCGGCGCCGGAGGCGCCGCCCGGGGGCCCCAGCGCCGATCCGAGAAATCCGCGCGGACCTCCGAGTTCTTATGTTTATGCAACTTTTTTGTTCCTCTAATTGATTGAGAATCCGTGTCTGCGCGCCCCCGACAGGCCTCGGAACAAATTAGCGAACACATGGCACATTCATCCGTCAACGCCTCCCCCAACGCCTCCCCCTCCCCCCAATGTTCAAAGTTGGCGGTGGGTCTGATGAGATGCACTTCGACCGCAGTCTCCCCCGCGCGTGCCAACATTGATTTTGGGGCGTGTTCAGTAATTGCTTCCCTCCACCGGAGTCTGCTCGGACCCTGCGTGGGAGGCCTCTGGGGAGCGGGGGCGCCGCCTGGGCCGGCCGGCCTGCGCAGGAGGTCCCCAAGAAGGTGTCGCGGGCGCGCAGGAGGTCGCCATGAAGGGAGGGTCAGGCTTAAGTCGGGCCTGTCCCCCTACAGTAGGATTTTCTCGCAGGCTCAGAGATTGACACCAACACCAATGTCGGCGGTGTGCACCTACCGAGGGAAAAAGATCCCGATCTCGGCGATGGTGGTAATATTCTGGCTTCCAAAGTGACCGAAAGATTGCCACCAACACCGAAATCTAGGATCGTCCTCCCCATGTGGAGGCAACCCCCTGTGTTGGTGTTGGTGCTCATTTCTAGGCCTCCAATTTTCGACGAAAAATAAAAAATACCCAAAAAGTAAACCAAAAGTACTCCAAAAATAGTCTGGGGACTATTTTTTGAGTATTTTTTACACCGCACTCACATCTATACCCCTGGGTGGGTGTATGTGCGGCCGTTTTTGCGCTGTCATGTGCGCGCATGTGCGCGGCATGTGCCAGTCATGTGCCAGGCCTGTGCGGTCCTTCGTGGATGGACTTCCTACTGTGCACGTCGTGCCCGGGCATGTGCGGGGGCATGTGCGCTGTGTTTTGATGTATCCATCATACGCACATGCACGCACAGTCCGACGCACATGCGCGCACATGCCTGCACATGCGGGAGGTGTTCGAGAATCGCAGATCTGTCATCGGCACATGCACGCACATGCCTGTGCAACCTCTCTTCGGGAGGCCGCGCGGGCCCGCACATGCACGCACATGCGGTGAAGCGCGCGGGCGCACATGCGTGCACATCCCAATGCACATGCACGCTCATGCCCTAGGAGCTGTCTGGGACCCCTGTGCCTCCAATGCCTCCTGGCCTTCGCAGAGCTAACCTGGGGCGTGCCAGGGCTTCCTGAAAGAGTTTGTTGTGCGTTTAGACTCGCCCGCTGCTGGCGGGGGCGGTTCTTCGCCCGGTTCGTGAGCTGGCGGTGGCGCGCCCGCCTAATAAAATATTCTCCCGCGCGCCTTCTCAGCTCGGCCGGAGAAACAGGGATGGGGGGGGGAGAGGTGGAAGGGGGAGGAGGGGGGGGCGGAGGAGGCGGGCGCCCCCGGCTCGGCCGGCCCGCCTGCCTGTTCGGCTCGGCCAGAGGAGAAGGAGGAGGAGGAGGAGGAGGAGTAGGAGGAGGAAGAGGAGGAGGAGCAGGAGGAGGAGGAGGAGGAGCAGGAGGAGGAGGAGGAGGAGGTGAGAGTTGCGAGGGTGTCTCAGGCGAAAGTGGCTTGACGGCCCGGGCTCAGGGAATCTCGGAATCGCTGGCCTGGCTCGGCCACCAGCGAGCTCGGCCTGTGCGAATACTGTGCGTATCTGTGCGGGGCATGTGCGGGACGTGCAAGAATGCCGGGGCGGTGTTCGTCTCCGGACGCCGGCGCGTTCGCGTCCGGCCGGTTCCGCGTGAGACGTCGTCGGCAATCTGGAGGCCGACGTGTTTTGACATGAAGTGATCTGGCCACCTTCGCCTGAGACATCCTCGCAACTCTGGTCTCGGAGATGCCCTGCCCCATGGTGGCCCGGCCACTTTCGCTTGAGACATCCTCGGAACTCTGGGTTTCGAAACGCCCTGAGCTGAGGTGGTTAGACCACTTTCGCCTGAGACATCCTCGCAACTCTGACCTCAGAGATCTCCTGCCCCATGCTGGTCAGGCTACTGTCGCCTGAGACATCCTCGCAAGTCTCGATTCGGATATGCCCCGAGCTGAGGTGGTCAGCCACTGTCGCCTGAGACATCCTCGCAACCCTGATCTCAATGATGCCCTGTTCGATAGTGTCTCGGCCCCTTTCGCCTGAGACATCCTCGGAACTCTGGGTTCCGAGACGCCCTGAGCTGAGGTGGTTAGACCACTTTCGCTTTAGACATCCTCGCCCGAGATGCCCTGAGTTGAGCTGTTCAGGCCACTTTCGCCTGAGACATCCTCGCAACTCTGACCTCAATGATGCCCTGCTCCATAGTGTCTCGGCCTTTTTCGCCTGAGACCCTCGCAACTCTGGGTTCTGAGATGCCCTGAGCAGGTGGTCAGGCCAGTCCTGCCTGAGACATCCTCGCAACTCTGGGCTCCGAGATGCCCTGGGCTGAGGTGGTCAGACCACTCTCGCCAGAGACATCCTCGCAACTCTGACCTCAGAGATTTCTTGCCCCATGGTGGTCAGGCCACTTTCGCCTGAGACATCCTCACAACTCAGACCTCGGAGGTGTCCTGCCCCATGGTCGTCTGGTCACCTTGACCAGCGACATCCTCGCCACTCTGGTTTCCAAGATGCCCTGCCCCATGGTGATCCGGCCACGCTTGCCTGAGACATCCTCGGAACTCTGGGTTGCGAAATGCCCCGAGCTCAGGTGGTCAGGCCACTATCGCCTGCGACATCTCTGCGGCATGTGCGGGCATGTGCGTCTATGCTTTCAGAGTTTTGCTTGACCGTGCATTCGACTGTGCGTCGGACGGTGTGGCATGTGCGCGCATGTGCGGCAATGCTGTTGAGGTTTTTGTATATTTGCATGGGCATGTGCATGCGACTGTGCGGCATGTGCCTGCATGTGCGGCCCCATCCGGACCACAATTTCAAAGTGAGCACTATAGAAGTGAGCGCTATAGAAGTGAGTCCGGTGTAACCTTTTGGGGGTATTTTTGGAGTATGTTTTATTGTCGAAAATCCACCTGTAGGGGGACACGCCCGACAGAAGGGTAGGTGGCGTCGTCGTGTTGGATGATGCTGGGTGTTTGCTTGTGTGGTTTTTGCGTCGTCGTTTCTGAGTTTTCTGTTCCTGGAGGTTCTCGCCACCATGACTGAACGCGGCTGGGAAGATTGGCCACAGTGGACCGCGGGGGTGGGGCGGGGGGGCCGCCTCTGACAAGACAGGGGGCCTCTTAGAACCCCTCCTGCCTCCTGAGAAGTAGCCCCCCCACCATCTAGTGTAGAATGTCGGCCTTGCCCTCGGCCTCGTAGATGCAGCGAATTGCTGTGATGTTGCGTGCCAGTGCACTCAGCATGTCCCAGCGTACTACACTCATGTGTCTTGATCACGTTTAATCTCGGCCCCAGCGTCCAGGATGCCCATCAGCCGCATGCGTATATTTCCATGGTTCCGTCTCCTCTTGGTCCTCATCCTCATCGTCGTCGTTATCGTCTTCCTCCCGCGGTCGCCCCTGGCGTCAGCTCCCCATGTCTGGTCCCCGCGTCTCTGTCCCCGAGTCTTTGCCGACGGGCTGTGACTTCCGCCATTAGGTCCTGGCTCGTCTCCCGCTCCGAGAGACGCCGGCCCGAGTTCCGCGCGAGGTTTGCTTCGCGAGCTGTGCTGGCAGTTCTTCACTTCTCACCTCCGACCTCCCCACCGAAGGTTTTCTCCCGGATGCGCCGGAAGGGTTCTGGTCGCTTTGGCTTCGGGGCTCAATGGACGGGGGTCAGTGCAAACGGGGGTCGGCCAGAGCGCCGGATCTTGCAGGACCCTGCAGAGCCAGGGCTGCATTGGCCCGGGTCTGTGCGCAGGATCCTGCAGGATGTTGCAGGATCCTGCAAGGCCTGACTCACCCGGGTTTGCATTGACCCGAATCAGGACGTTTCCGATGTCTCCTCCTCATCCACCCTCCTCTCCTTCTCCCCTCCCTCGAAGAAGAAACAATTACATAAACATAAACTTCTTGCGCTCCGCGCGGATTTCTCGGATCTGCGCTGGAGCCTCCCGGCGGCGCCTCCGGCGCCGCCCGCGGCGCGTTCCGGGCGCCAGGGTTGGGGGGTCCAGCGCAGATCCAAGAAATCCGCGCGGACCTCCAGAAGTTGATGCTGATGCAGTTGTTCCTTCCTCTACTTCCTTCCCCCATCCCGCCCGCAGGGGGGGCCGCAATGAAGCTGAAGCCCACCAGGGACTGCTTCGGCATCTGCACGCTGACGGCAGGGGTGGAGGCCGTGCGGCCTCGCAGAGGGGGGAGGACAAGGGGAGGAGGGCGAGGGGGAAGCAGGGAGGACGAGGAGGACCAGGAGCGAGGCACGAGGATGGAGGGGAGGGATCGTGGGTGTCTCCACGAAGCGCCTTCGCGCAGTCTGCAGTTCGTCCGCTTTGAATTCGGCATGGAAGATTTCCCACGTCCAAGCCCCAAAAAGGTCGAGAGTGTCTCCGAGCCGTGTTCGCGCAGCATTGGGGCTCGGATATGTCAAGAATATGTCCTCATCATCTTAAACTATCTCTTCGCATCATCCGCCTCTTGCTCTTGTTCATGCTTGTCCTCCTCCTCGTCCTCCTCCTCGTCCTCTTCCTCCTTCTCCTCGTTCTCCTCCTCCTCCTCCTCCTCCTCCTCCTCCTCCTCATCATCATCATCATCATCATCATCCTGCTCCTGATCCTCTTCTTATTTCTCCTGCTCCATCGTATCCTGATCATGCTTGTGACCAAGGGCTGGTCGTGCGACGAGAGCCTTCACACCAGGCTCGAAGGCATGTGATCGACGACCGCATCATCGACAGGGCCTGGTACGGCAGCTCGCGGGCCCACGAGGCCGCGAAGAGTGTTGCGCAGCACGGCAGGCTGGACCACTCCTCCAGGACAAAGTTGGTCAAGTCCAACAAGCTCGTGGAAGGGTGGCTCATCCGAGTCTTGGCGGTGGCCGGCTGGGCGGCGAGGACACCCGCACCGCGTGGCCAAGCACAGGCTGCGGCAAGGACGTTGTGACTGCAAAATGGCCTGCGACCTTAGAAGCGAGGATTGGCTGCAGTGGTGCTCCGGGCGCCACCGACAGCGGCGTGCTGGCGAGCGTCCAGGCTCCATCGATACTGAGGTGGTGGAGCTCGGTCAGGCCCTCCGCGACAGCGGGCTGACCCAAGCATCTGGTTGGCCCAAAAGGGGTCCAGCTAAAAGGGGGTGATGCAATAGATTTGGTGCAACATATATATATATATATATTTATATATGGGGTTCCAATAGATTCTGGGTTGGCAATACACTCTGGTACGCAAATGTATTGCTGGGTGAGGGCTTCTGGGAAGTCCCGCCGCCTTTGAGAAGGCCCTCTCCTTCTCATTTCCCCCCTCGCTCGCCGCCGAATGTGGTATTTGGGTCATAACTCGGGTCTCCGGCTGCCGTTCGGGACGATCCAGGCACACCCGGATCGCCCTCGGCGAGGCGCAGCTGCTGGCAGGCACCCCGAGGCTGGAAAGCCGCCGAGAGGCGATGAGAGCTTAGCCGAACCGAACCGAGCGTCCGAACTTCCCCCCCTCGCTCGCCGCGGAAAGAAAAACACCACCCCGCCACGATCGTCCCGCTCCGCGGGGCCTGGCTGGAGCGCGACCTCCGCCCTCGCCCTGTGGGGGCCGCGGGCCGCGGGCGCGAGGGCGCTCACAGGCCCCCAGGCCCACTTCACCACAAGAAGGCGCACGATTTGTTAACCCCATTTCTGTTCATCAGGTGGCAGAGCATATCAATTTGTGGTGAGGTGCGCCGAGTAGTTCTTGGCGCTGCAATTTCAGTGTTTGTGGCCGCACATGCCTGCCAGGAAAAGGATACCAGGATGCCTCGGGCGCGAGGAACTGTCGGCCTCCAGCGGCCCCGCGGCGCGCCCGCCGTCGGGGGCGGCGGCCGCCGTCCTCGCCGGGCCTTGGCGCCGGAAGCCGCGCGCCAGCCCTCGCCCGCGCGGGCGTGCCCACACGGTGAAGTCGGGCGCGTCCCACGGGGATTTTCGACGAAAAATCAAAAATACTCCAAAAGTACCTCCAAAAAGTCAAACAATACTTAATAAATAATCCCCAGACTATTTTTGTATTTTTTTTGTTGCTATTTCTGGGGTATTTTTTATTTGTCGTCGAAAATCCCCGTGTGGGGGGACAGACCCGACTTAATGATAGACATCCCTCTACAGTCGTGGGTGGACCGACCTGCTACCCTGACACGTCGATTAAGGAATTGGCCGTTTTCGGTTCGCGAGGGGGCGTCGCGGCCGTCATCTTTGCGGGTCCAGGTCCGTCGGTTTCGGTCCCAGGCCGTTTTCACTAAGGGGAGGTCTGCTAAAGGGAGTATTGTCCACCGCCGATACAGGAGGGACATGCCGAAATAGTCCAACAACAAAACGCCAGGGGAAGTTTTTTTTTTTATGTATGTTTGAGCATTCGTGTGAAGATTCTTGGGCTTACGCCGCACCGCCGACCCCTTGGGGCGCTCCTGGTAGGTCTCTCCGGGGCCTCCTGGCAGCACTCATGAAGCCTTCTCGGGGCCGTGTTGGGGCCTCTGGTGGGCCTCTGGTGGGCCTCTTGGAGCCTCTCGGGGGCGTTTGAAGCCCTTTTTATCAACTTCTTCGTCCCGGGGTCCGTCTGCAGGAGGACGCGCCCGACCTCACCATGCGGCGTCGTGGTCTGCGGGGCCCGCGCGGGGCGGGCCCGGGCGCTCGGCCCCTCCGCCGAGGCGCGGGCGGAGGAGGCGCGACGCCGCGCCGCCCTGCCGCCCGCCGACCGTCCTGGGTGGTGCTCTCCTGTGGTCCTCCCCCCGCCTCCTGCGCGCCCCTGCGGCGCCTCGACCCTCCGTGCCGACACCTCCTCCTCCTCCTCCTCCTCCTCCTCCTCCTCCTCCTGCTCCTCCTGCTCCTCCTCCTCCTGCTCCTCCTCCTTCCTCCCTCCTCCCTCCTCCTTCTCCTCCTCCTCCTCGTCCTCGCCCTCATCCTCCTCATCCTCGTCCTCCTCCTCCTCGTCTCCTCCTCCTCTTCCTCCTCCTCCTTCCCCCTCCTCCTCCTCGTCCTCCTCCTCCTCCTCCTCCTCCTCCTCCTCATCCTCTTCCTATTGTGTAATTCAAAAAGGTTTATGGCCTCGGGGGCGTGGACATTGCAATTTACGGGGTTTGTGGCCTCGGGGGCGCGAATCTATGTAATTTGCATGGGTGTGTGGCCTGGGAGACGCAAGTATGGTGTGATTTACGATGGATTATGGTTTAGGCGACGCGAGTGTTTTGTATCTTTAAAAATGATGTCTGGCCTCGGGGACATGAATATGGCATAAGTTACCAAAGATTATGGCTTCGGGGACGCGAATATTACGTATCTGTACGTGTCCCACGCCCCCACAGGAATTCAGACATTGCGATCTGGGCGTGGTAAAAAAGGCTGGTTTGGGGCTCCCCCCTCGCGCGTTCAGCAACACATTACAATAGCAAGCAGCAAGCAGGACTGTAACAGTGGAGACTTGAAACTGGAACCTGTGCAGGGAACATGAAAACCTAATCTTCGCAGCCTGACGGCCCCGCAAGGGGGCTGGCGGATACATGTACATAAAACATACGAGAAAAACAAAGCGCCTACGAGACGGACAAGAGTTGGCAGACAAAAAAGGTATGATAAAAACAAGTATGATAATGACAAGCGTGATAAAACGAGTGTGATGAAACAGTGTGATCCGAAAAATATATGATAACAGACAAGTGCGAAACAAGACACTACTGTGATACAAACAAGTGTGGTACAAAACAAGCGCGATGACAAAACAATTGTGATAAAACAGTTGTGACACAACAGAACTTGGTGCTTACCACACTTGTCCGGAACAAGTTTTAGCACACTCGTTTTGCCGCCGGGGTGCCTGCTCCTGGGCGGCTGGCAAGGTTAGACCCTCGCGGTGGCGCGTCGGGCTATAGATTTTCCAGCCTCCGTGGAGCAGGCGCCCCCGACGGCGGAGCGGTTGCCTTTACGCCGGTCTTCGGCGGCTACGAGAGGGGGGAGGCAGGAGAAAGGAGGACGAGAGGGAGGGGTCGCACGAGAAAGAGGAAGAGGGTGGCCTCGCCTCCCCTCCTCCTTCTCCTCCTCCTCCTCCTCCTCCTCCTCCTCCTCCTCCTCCTCCTCCTCCTCCTCCTCCTCCCCCTCGTCCTCCTCCTCCTCACGTTCCTCCTCCCTTCCCTCCTCCCTGTCCTCCTTATCCTCCTCCTCCTCCCTTTCCTCCTCCCTTTCCTCCTCCTCCTCCTCCTTCTCCTCCTCCTCCTCCTCCTCCTCCTCCTCCTCCGCGCAAGGTGCGGTGGGATGGGAGGAGGGGGGGCGGGAGGCGGGGAAGCGGGAGGACGAGAGGATGTGGAGCCAGAGGTCGCCCGCGGGGGCCCGACGGTGCTGGTGTGTTCGCGCGCCGCGGAGCGGGGCCAGGGCGGCCGCCCTTGTCCGATGGGGGGGGGCCGGCGCTCCCCCTCCTCCTCCTCCGCCTCCTCCTCCTCCTCCTCCTCCTCCTCCTCCTCCTCCTCCTCCTCCTCCTCCTCTCCCTCCTCCTCTCCCTCCTCCCTTCTCTCCCTCCTCTCTTCTCTCCCTCCTCCCTCCTCCCACCTCCCTCGATGGCGCGAAGACGAGCGTGCGTCGCAGGGCGCGATGCGCAAAGTGCAGGCGACCGCAAACATGGATCGAGGGGGCGCGCAGGAGCGACTCGGGTCCCGTCTCCATGGGAAGTCGCGGAGTTCCGCCGCCGAGCGAGGCCGCACCGGCCGCATTTTGGGGAGGGCACCGCCCCCGATCCATGCTCGTGCGCCCCCGAGAAGCGGGGCGGCGCGGAGGGTGTTTCACGGATGTGGAGGGGCGGTCCGCCCCCCAAGCGCGCGGAGGCCATATGCCTCGCGGTCCTGGTCTTCTCGCTGCTGGTGATCTCCGTCGTCTCCTCCGCTGAGCCGCTGCAGGTGACAGCGGGGGCTGTGGCAGACGAGCGCCTCGTGCCCATCCACTCCCCTTCCTGGTGTCCCACCCCTTCCTACCTCCTCCCCCTCGTCCCTCGATGTTCCGCTCCCTCACTCTGCCCCTCTCAAGGTGGAGCAGTATGCTACCATGCCATTCCTCCTCCTCCGCGTCCCTCTTCTTCTTCTCCCCCCTCCTCCTCCGCGTCCTTCTTCTTCTTCCTCCTTCTCCCCCTCCTCCTCCTCCTCCTCCTCCTCGTCCTTCTCATGCTTCTCCTCCTCCTCCTGCTTCCCCCCTCTCACTGTGGCTCCTCCTCCCTCCTCTCGTACCCCGCTCCTCTTGCCCCTCCCCCTTCCTCCAGCAGGCGGAGGGGGGGGCGCCGGTGCGAAGAGCGGCGGGGCGCCTGGCACCTCCGACGGAGCCCGCTCGAAAGCAAGCCCGGAGGGAGAGGATGAGGAAGCGGGGAGATGTGAAGGATGAGAAGGGGGAGGAGGGGGAGGAGGGGAACGAGGGTGAGGGTGAGGGTGAGGAGGAGGAGGAGGAGGAGGAGGAGGAGGAGGAGGAGGAGGAGGAGGAGGAGGAGGAGGAGGGAGGAGGAGGAGGAGGAGGAGGAGGAGGCTGAGGAGGAGGAGGAGGAGGGGGGGGGAAAAGGAGGAGGAGGAGGAGGAGGAAGAGGAGGAGGAGGAGGAGAAGCAGGGATGGAGCAGGAGTGGAGGAGATGATGATGAGGAGGAGGAGGAGTAGGAGGAGGAGCCCCGGGGGGGGGAGGCAGCGCCCGCAGGGACCTCATGCCACCAGGAATCAGGAACCAAGAGGAGAAGGAGGAGGAGGAGGAGGAGGAGGAGGAGGGGGAGGAGGAGGAGGAGGGGGAGGAGGAGGAGGGGGAGGATGATAACGACAATGAAGAATTATGGATGGAGGATGAGGAGGAGGTGAAGGAGGAGTAGACTCATCATTCTTTACTCCTCGCTCCCCCTCCTCCTTCTCAAATTGCTGTTGGGTGACGTTTTGCTGGGGGACTGGTTGGGGCCCCTTTGACACCTCGTGGAGATTTTCTGGGTGCCTCTTGCTCGCCGTCGGCGGGACCGTCTTGGACTGAATGATCATATCGAGCTCTCCCGAGCATTCCGTCTGAAAGCGCATGGGGTACATCTGGGCGGGTCCCGGCGCCGTCATGCGACCCCCTTGATGCTATCATGATTCGGCATCCGAGGCGATCTCAAGCTGACATTTCCGTTGGTGGGTTGTTGTGTTTGGTTGTTTAGGGCCTTGCTTGAAGCATGAGTGGGCGGCCTCTTGGGACCTTTCGGTGACATCTTAGGCCTTGGAGGCGTACATTGACCGTCTTGGGCTGGTCTACGGGCACTTTACAGATGTAGTGGTGCCGTAGTTGGCCGTGTTGGAGCCGCTTGGAGAATTGAGAAGGGTGCGGTGCGGCAAAGCAAGCGGGTCGAATTCTGGGGAAGTGTGCGCAGTTTCACGCGACGATTGGGGATTCGGCTTTTCGCCAGGCACCGAACAAGCATTCTGACACGCTCCAACGTGCAGGATACGATCGTGGATCTCGTTCGCTTGGGTGCGTGCACACCCCGTTTTCAGCCGATAGAGCAGGTGTTCCCAAATTCCAGTTGAGCATAAAGTGCTGGTCCAGCAAGGGGGCAGGAGCATGTGCCACATGCAGGCGCTGTCCCGTCGTGCTGCAGCAGGGGAATTCGAGCAGCGTTGGCGTTCGATGCCAAGTTTCGTGTCATGGGTCATGGTGCATCGGTCGCTGCTTCCGTTGCGTCACACTTGCTTGCGCAGTGCTTAAGAAGAGATGGTGGGTCAGATCGTCGGCTTGACGGTACCTCCGACATTGCAGGCGGTCACACGTGATCAATGTCTTTCTGTTTCTTGCCAAGCTTGCGATTGGGGACGCCGGGCAGGGGTCGGGCTTCGTTCTTGAACGTGAGATCTGCACACATAATTACTATCGAAGCGGATGTTTCATAAAAAATGTGAACTGTTGCAAGCATATGTTGGATGCAGTGCTGTAATGTCCAATGGGGCAAACCACTCACAACCAACATTATATCATATAAAGAGGTATATATTCGTAGATACGGTGGTTATGCTGAGTATGTGTATCATTGTCGTTGGAACGCAGTGCGCCCCTTTCCCATTCCATTCTTACTTTTCCCCTCTCCACTCTCACTCCTGCCTCGCTCCACGATTATTCCACTCGCTTCGGCGTTGATCCTTTCTTCTGCCTTTACGTTCCTATCACATGATATCACCTCGGTGTCGCTGGCCCCGGTGAACAACATGCCAATCGTGGATTCTCATGTAGTGGACTCAGAACGCAGTGGTTATGGTTGGGAGTGGATTGTTGGAGCGAGCATTGAGTGGTAGAACGCAGTGGTTATGGTTGGGAGTGGACTGTTGGAGCGAGCAGTGAGTGGTATTGAAGTTGGGAGGAGGGCCGAGGCGTGGATGGTTCGTTCGAGGACCGAGGAGTGGGCTGGACCTGTAATGAAGTGAACAAGGATCAGACCCCATTTGTAATCAATTCTCGGCCTACAGTCAACGCGCCTAGTAAGGACGCGCGCCTTCATCTAGGGTACCCTTGTGTCCTTGCCTCTGAGGCTCGTCCTTGCCATTATCACTGGTCGCCCGCCGCCCTAAAAAACCCAACTTCGGCCTCCAAGGGTCTTGCGTCCTTATCACCCGTCCTTAATATACGTTTTGACTGTATTCCCACCCCATCAGCTTTCAATGATCTGGGCTGAGACAGGAGTCAGGTTACACAGGGGTGAGGGCGGCGGCATTCCCCGACCACTGCTTGCACACAGGGGCCCTTCCCTGCGTCTCTAAGGCATGTGATGGCCCGGCCGAGGATTCCGCCACGTTGCCGTCCGTTGCCGCCTCGTTGCCGTTGGGGGGTCCGCCAAGGATTCGCTACGTTGCCGCCCGTTCCCTTTTTCGTTGCATTTTTGCGGGGTCCGGCGAGGATTCGACGCGCTGCCGCCCGCTGCCGGCTCGTTGCCGCTTGGAGGGTCCGTCGAGGATCCCCCACGTTGCCGCTCGTTGCTGCCTGTTGCCGCACGTCTCCGCCTCGTTGCCGCCTCGTTGCCGCTTGGGGGCTCCGCCGAGGATTCCCCACGTTGGCGCCCATTGCTGCCTTGACCCCGCTGGGGGGGTCCGCTGTTGCCGCCCGTTGCAGCCTCGTTGCCGCTGGAGGGTCCGCCCAGGATTCCCCACGTTGCCGCCCGTTGCAGCCGTGTTGCCGCTTTGGGAGGTCCGCCGAGGAGGCCCCGCGTTGCCGCCCGTTGCTTGTTTGCTGCCGCCCGTTGCCGCCTCGTTGCGGCCTTGATGCCGCTTGGGGGTCCGCCAAAGATCCCCCACGTTGCCTCATTGTGGCCGCTTGGGCAGTCCGCCGAGGATTCGCCACGTTGCCGCCCGTTGCCGTCTGGTCGCCGCTTGGGGGGTCTGTCGCGGATTCGCCACGCTTCCGCCCGTTGCCGTGCCGCTTGGGTGGTCCTGCGAGGATTCGCCACGTTGCCGCCCGTTGCCGGCTCGTTGCCGCTTGGGGGGTCCGCTGAGGGTCGCCACGTTGCCTCCCGTTGCCGCCCGTAGCTGTCTCGTTGTCGCGTGGGGTGTGCGTCGAGGATTCTCCACGTTGCCGCCTGTTGCCGCCTGTTGCCTTCCGCTGCCGCCTTGTTACCGCACAGTTTGCCCTGCATAGCTTACACCACATAGCTCGCACCACATGGCCGACATCACGTAGCTTACACACCCACAGTGGAAGCACCTGCTGCTTGGGGCTCACGCTGGCTAACATGGGAATGATCGTTCATCATTCCAGTCTCGCTGAAGGACCTCGTCATTATCACTACATGTTCATTGCAATCATTGAGAGCACAGCGAGACGGAAATGGGCATGGGCTGGGCACGGAGGGAGACTTTGTGAGCATGCAGAGGGATGAGAACATCGATGTGGGGATACTGAATGCATTATGAAGGGGGTGACATTGGAATGAAAATGGTGAGGCGCGGTTCATATTCAGCTCTGCCCCAAGCGTCACTCTTCATGGTGCATGTTTTCAGGGGCTTCTACTTCAGTTTTGAAGGCCATATAAGGCTAGGGTCAGTATGAATCCGTTGATTTACCAGTTCGTTGCATCTGTTGTGGGTTCATCATGCCCACGGTGTTTTCCAGCCGCCACACGACATGGGACGCATTGTATCGCACTTGGGTGACATATTGAATTCGTTCACAAAGGTCACTAGTTGGTCGCGTGTACGCATGCATCGGCATGGCGTGATCACGTATGGAACTACGTTTAGCTTCAGCGCTGCTCACATTTAATCTGCACGTGCATGCTCGTGGTTATATGGCGGGCGCATGCATGCACTCACACGTTTCTTGGTGTGAACGCGTCTGTTCGCCGCGCGCCCTCTCGGCTCCGTCTGCGCTCAGGAATGGCCGTGTCATGCGTTAAGTGTTTCGCGCGTGCGCATCGTTTGGTTAGGCGTCCTGGCGCACAGTTGGGCCGAGAGGCGCGATCCATGAGCTCGATGGCTCTACGGGGTGCCCGAACCTGCGCCAGCGATCTTGATTTGCGCAGCGGCAATTAGTTGTTTCCTCTGCTCGAAAGTCTTCCGCGCAGGTGGCTGCGGGCGCTTGGGCGTTCGTTGGCATTCCATTGGTGCCTCCACCCGCTCAGCAGCACGAGTCGGGGTGAGAGGAGGGAGGAATACAAGCATTGACGGTTGCACGTTAGACTGTGTGGGGCAACGCCGGGCAGGGTAGCGAAGGGAGAGATCAGGAGAATGGAAAACGCTTGTTGGAGTAAGCGACGGAGGTTTCGGCAGACTCACTGGAGAAATTCGCACGCTGGTAGCAATGCAGAACGGCTTTGAACGTGGAAGAGGAGGCGTCCACATGAGTGTCGGAATAATGCCGAGCGTATGGTTGTGTGGCCCGCAATGGGAATTTTCGTTTAGGGCGTCCTTTGGCAATTCATTCCCACGCTTCAATCTGAAACTAAAGTTAGGACGGGTCAGATGACGCCGACACAGTGCAACATCGGCCGCCCAACTCACCGGGCGGGCGAATGGAACGTTGGGAAGATAGGTGACGTACAACCCGCAGGTCGCGGGCCCTACGAGGAACCTCGAGAAACGGTGAAGCACTATTCTAATGATTGGTCTTCGGCGATGCGGGGATCGTCAGACAGTGGCTCCTAAGCAAGGTCCACTTGTTAATGCTGCCACATGGGCTGTGCTAGAGTGAACGGGTCGGGGTCGCGGGGCGTTTGTTAGCTCTGAGGGCACCAATCATGAGAATGGCGCGGTCGACCAATGATCCCGCATTGCAGAATCGCATTATTCGGCGGCGAACTTGGGGGGGAAATGAGAAGGAGAAGGCCTTCTCAGAAGGCTCGGAAGTCCCCCAATCTTCTGAGAAGTTCTCTGCCTTCCCCGAAGACACAGATAACCTCTGAGAAGGCGCGAGGGCTCCTGAGAACTCCCACCGCCTTCTGGGACGGCCTTCTCTTTGGGCCTCTCAGAAATGCTTGGCCATCTGAAAAGTGTCCTTTTTCTTCTGGGAAGGGTCAGGAAACTCTTCAGAAGGCCAGGGGACTTCCGAGCCTCCTGCGAAGGCCCGCCCCTTCTCACCTCCCCCCGGGCTCGCCGCCGATGTTAGACGTCCCAACTGGCAGAGGGCTGTTCGAGCCGCCGGACGTCCTCGATCCCAGAGGCCAGCCCCCTGCTCTGCCGAGAGGCACGGGTCAGGAGCAAAGGCTGCATTCGTTGCGGCACCTTCGGCGGAGGCGGCGCTCCAATCCCAACCACTCCCCCGCGCAGGCCATCATGGCCGGCGTCGGCGTTTTGTACCAGGTCGAGTCGAACTTGAGGCTTTTCTTCGTCTACCTGCTGGCAAGGCCATGGCCCTGCGCCGAGCCGGTGAGGGAGGGCGTGAGGAGGAGATGAGGAGGAGAAGGACAGGCGCCATAGTAACACCCAGGATGCATCAGGGATGGAGTATGAGTGCACACTGCGGGAAGCACGCGCTTGGCATACGATTGCCCCGTGCAAATTCAAGTGCGTTGCGCTAAGGCGGGAGCCACATTTCGAAGAACATGCGCGCGAGGTTACAGCGACATACTCACTTTGAATCCTGTCCGCTCTCCACCTTGTGAGAGCGCTGGAGATTGCAGCCGGTAGGGCCACACCTTGGTGGTGCGACGAGGAGGAACCGTTCGTGAGGAGACGGGATGCAGCCCCCATCCAGGAGGGGAAAAAACACACAGACACAATTATTCGTCGACTTCCAGAAAATATGCGAAAATATGGGAAGTGGGGGGGAAGACAGAAACCCAGAAAATATGGGAAAATATGGGGAATATTCTTATTTGTGTGTATTTATTTGTGTGTCCCAGGGCCCCTTCACCCATCCCCGCTCCCTCCCGTGCCCATCCTCTTCTCCCACCTCCCGGCCTCTCTCCTCGCCTTCGGCGAGGCTGCACGCGTCGCGCTTCAGAGGTCTCGTCGAGGCGGGGGACTCGACGGGTGGCCGGGGGTGAGCAGGGCGAGGGCCCTTTGTGGGCCCCGGAAACGGCAGGGAGGTTATATCACCGTTTCCCCAAAAATGTCCCTTGGAAATGGAAACGGCAAAAAAACGGCGACCGGAAACGGCAAACAAAACGGCTCCAGGATTGGAACCGGAGCCGGAACCGGTCAAAAAACCGCGACGGAACCGGTAAAAAAAACGGCGTCGGAACCGGCACAAAATTGGCACAACGGAACCGGTAACAAAAACGGTCTTGTCGTTTCCAGGGCCCGCTAAGCTGGCCGGGGCGAGGGATCCGAGAGCGGGGGCGGGGCTGAAAGCGAATCGAGTCGGGGGGCGTGCCGTTGCCCGCGAGGGGCGTGCCGCGCGCCCTTCGTGCCAGGGTGCGTTGTGCGAGCTGAGCGGCCAAGGGGCCCACGGCCCAGGGGCCGAGGGGATACATCCAGGCACCCGCTCAAGTCTCTGGATCGCCCTCCCTGCCCCCAGAGCCCTCCTCTCTGCCTTCGCCCTCCTCGCCCTCCTCGCCGCCATCTTCATCCCCCCTGCCTCTACACTCCAGGCTTTCCACGCCTAAATATGTATTCGTCCCCCTCCTCGTCATCTTCCTCTGTACGTTCTTTCTCCCCCGTACTCCTCCCCCTCCTACTCCTTCTCCTCCTCACTTCAGGTTGGCGTCGAGACGGGCTCCCTTGCAGGTAGCGGCTGATCGTCATCAGCATCATCATCATCATCATCATCATCATCATCATCATCATCATACTCATCACCATCACCATCACCATCACCATCATCACCACCACCATCGTCATCATCATCAGCATCATCATCATCACCATCACCACCATCGTCATCATCATCAGCATCCGTATCAGCATCAGCATCGTCATCACCATCATCAGCAGCATCAGCATAATCATCATCACAAACATCATCAGCATCATCATCACACGTATCATCATTGGTATTCTCATAATCAAAAACTCATCAGTGCCATCACCATCAGGAGCATAAGCATCATCAGCATCGCCATCATCATCGTAACCATCATCATCATCATCATCATCGTCACCATCATCATCATCATCATCATCATCATCATCATCATCATCATCATCATCATCATCATCATCATCATCATCATCCACATCATGATTAGCATCAGCATCGCCAGCATCATCGTCCTCAGCATCATCATTACCTTTATCATTACCAGTCGCATAATCATCACCACCACCACCATCATGATCCTTACCAGCATTACCATCATCATCATCATCATCATCATCAGCAGCAGCAGCAGCAGCAGCAGCATCACCATCACCATCACCATCATCACCATTATCAGCACCATCATCAATACCGTCATCGTCATCGTCATTATCATCCTCATCAGCAGCAGCAGCACTATCATCGTTTCTGCACCGTGTGCGCGACCTTCACCTCCCCTCTGCGGGGGTGGCAGGGCTCGTCAAACTGGGCGAGCTGCGGGTGGCGCGGGGTCTGCATCCGACAAAGCACTGGAGATATGTGCGCCCCCGAGCCCCTCGGCAGGAGACCTCCGCCACCTCAGAACATAGACACGGGCACCGCCCAGTGGATTGTTCTAGGGACTCAGGGGAGGGTGGCGGTGCATACATCACAGAGGTCCAGCGATGTTATACGCCGCCACCCTCCCTGAAGGCGCAGGGAAAGCTCGTCGGCAGGCGTCCGTGCATACAGCCAAGACGCTGACATAAGAAACAATGATCACTGCGGGCTCAGATTGGGATGTGATCTTCGAACCCTTCCTCGCGGCCAGAAACGCCTCTTCGTTCCTTAATCATTGTTGTTCATGGTGGCACGGTGACTATAAACTCTCGTGGCGTTGGACCGCGCTTGCGCAGCTCCGCCACTTCGGGCGCAGGAGGGGCTGTGACCTTCGAACCCTTTCCCGCGGCCAGAAACGCCTCTTCGTTCTTTACTCATTGTTCTTCATGGTACAGTGGAAACCCATGTTAAGAAACACCCTGCTTGCCGCAAGGGTGCCCTGGCTTTCTTGGGTTTCGATGGTTTTGCGGTGGAGAGCGTGACGCTCGCACAACAAAAATCAGGGTCTGCTCTGGGGTCTCAGGGTCGGGCCTCTTGTGGAAGGTCTCTTGTGGTCGAGCCCCTACTGCAGCACGATGACTGCATACACGCCGGTCGTTGGAAGTAGGTATTTTTGGATTCCCAGATCCCAATCTACCTCAAGCGCCTTCCTACTTAAAGAATCGACGCGCTTTTGCTGTGTTTTGCTGTTCGCCGGGGGGCCTGGACCCAATCCACTTTCTCCGCCTTCCTACTTCACGTTCCTACCTGCTTCTTCCGACCGACGTGTATTCCCAGCCACGCACAAAGGGGGGTGGGGGGAGGGGGGGGCTTCTTAGACGCACCCCTGCTTCTTAGGAGGCGCGGGCGTGATCTGTAGACGCAAGGCCGGCGCCTTCTGAGAAGCAGCCTCCTTCTAAGAAGCCCTCCCCCCTCTCCCCACCCCCTTGTGCGCGCCGCCAAAATTCTTGCGGCGCTAGACCGCGCGTGCGGATCAATGTATTAGAAATGCAGGGATCCAGTATCAAAAACAACGATGAGTTCGTGCATCAATTTACTCATACATTGATCATGCATTAAAAATCCCATATGTTCAACAATCTTATGTATTAAGAGCTGCCCTGTACTTCTTCCGACCGACGTGTATCCTCTCGGCGCCAGACCGCGCCCCGCCGCCCCCCGCGACGGGGGCCGGCCCGCCGCGGCCTCCCTCGGAGCCGAGCCTCGCGGGCCGAGCGGCGCGCGGAGGGGGCGCGCAGGGGCGCCGAGGAGGCGCCGAAGGGGCGCTCCGTGGGGGCGGCACCCATGATGCGACCCTTCCTCCTCCTCCCCCTCCTCCTCCTCCTCATCCTCCTCATTCCCATAATCCTCCCCCTCCTCCTCCCCTCTCCTCCTCCCCCTCATCCTCCTCATCCTCCTCCTCATCCTCCTCCCCCTCCCTACTCCTACCCCGCTCCCTCCCCTCCTCCTCCTCCTCCTCCTGCTCCTCCTCCTCCTGCAGGGGGGTTCGCGGGGTGGGACAGAGTTAAGGCGATCGCAAACATGGATTAAGGGGGCGTGGATTAGTGACGGGTCCCGTTTGCATGGGGAATCGCGGACTTCCGCCGCCGAACGAGGCGGCACTGGCTGCATATCGGGGGGGGCGGCATCTCCCCCGATCCATGGATTTGGCGACCGCGCGCCGAACCCATGGAACGCTAATCCCTGTTTGCGCGCCCCCAAAGAGTCGCCGCCTCACCGACTGAGTGGACGCAGCAAGGGAATACAGTGCCGTTTTTTATACATGCTCATCGTGCGGATCATGTATTAAACATTCAGGGGGTTAGTATTACAATCAACGATGCGTGCATGCGTAAATGCATTCATGAATTAATCATGGATTCAAAATCATATGTTTTAAACATCGCATGTATTAAAAACTGCCTTGTAGTCGCCATCGTCACCACCGTGCAGAGGAGGAGAGGGTGCGTGCCGACGTCGCTGCCCTTCCCTATTTGTCCCTTCTTCTGGCCTCTTGGGAGGCCCAGGCCCTCGTCGCCACGGAGGAGGAGGAGGAGGAGGAGGAAGAGGAGGAGGAGGAGGAGAAGGAGGAGGAGGAGGAGTAGGGGGAGGAGGATTACCAGGACTACCGCCATTACTTGGCGAGGTCCGGGGAGCAGCGGTATCGGTACCTCTTGGTCTCTCCAGGGGAGGAGGTTTGGGCAGCAATTCGGGGTTCAAGAGGCGGGGGTCAATGCAAGCGGGGGTCAGTCCGAGCGCCAGACATTGACCCGGGTTTGGGTGCAAACTCCTGCAGAGTCAGACTCGCATTGACCCGAGTTTGGGTGCAAGATCCTGCATGATCTTGCAGGTTTTTGTATGATCGTGCACGGCCTGACTGACCTGGGTCTGGATTGACCCGGGTCAGAAGATCCCCGAGCAAACCATGGGAGTTTTGCATATTGTCTTAATTCCGTCTGTCGACTGCGCTCGCGCCAGCTAGCGTGCGGTAATCGGTGCGATAGTGTCGATTTGGCGTCGATTGGTGCCAACTCGCAAGAGCCAGCAAGATGGTGTGGGAGGCTCCCGCGAGCGTTAATTACCGAAGGAGGTGCCGTGCCTCGGGCGAAAGGCAACGGGGGGAGGGGGGCCTTAATCGAAAAAGGGCAATCGGACTGCGCGGACTTCTTGGATCTGCGCTGGGACCCCCTGGCGGCGCCTCCGGCACCGCCCCTGGCGCGCTCCGCGCGCCAGGGAGGGGGTCCAGCGCAGGTCCAAGACATCCGCGCGGAGCGTCGACCGCTGCTGCCTGTGCAGCTCGCCCCC